CACGAGGCAGAGGCAGACTGCTCTCTGTGAGTTCAAGGTCAAATTGGCCTATTGGCCTACATAGTGAGTTCCAGGCTGGCCAGGGCTACATGGTGGGTTCCTGTCTCAAAGGGAAAAATATGGGGGGCTGAAGAGATGGCTCAGCAGTTAAGAGCATCAACTGTGCTTCCATAGGATAGGACCCAAGTTTGACTCCCAGTACTTAAGTCAGATAACTCACAATTCCCTGTACCTCCAGGTCCAGGAGAATCACACCTATGGCCTCAGTGGGTACCCATACTTATGTACATATTACCCTCATCACACACATAATTTTAAAAATCCTTTGAAAAATGGAGGCTTGGGGGCTGGAGAGATGGCTCAGTGGTTAAGACACTGGCTGTTCTTGTAGACGACCTGGATTCAATTCCCAGGACCCACATGGCAGCTAACAACTGTCTGTAACTCCAGTTTCAGGGGCTCTGATAGCTTCTTCTGTCCTCTGTGGGCATTGCACGGCACGCATGCACTTACATACATGCAGGCAATACACGCATACACATAAAATAAAATTTTTAAATAAAAATAAAATATTTTTTAAAAAAATAATAATTAAAAAATGAGCCAGGCATTGTGGCTCACGCCTTGAATCCCAGCACTCAAAAAGACCAAAAATAAAAAATAAAAAAATAAAATAAAAATTGGAGGCTTGTGGTCAGCCCAATAAAACTGTTCTGTGGTATGTGCATGTATGTGGTTTGTAGTGTGTTTGGTGTGGTGTATGAGATATGTTGTGGTGTCTGTGTGTCTGTGTTTCTGTGTTTTGGGGGAGGAACCCAGGGCCTCATGCTAGGCTCCACCTCTGAGCAGCACCTCGCTGCACCCTGACATCCCTTTGTCTTAGTATGTAGATGACATCAGGGAGGACTTTAGGCTCCATTTTGCTTCTCTCTACCCAGCTGCCCTTCAGAGGACACAGGAGCCCCCTCTGACCTGGGGCCACCAGAACAGGAGTCCCCTTCCCAGGTGAGCCTGTTATTTTGTTGTTGTTTGTTTTTTTGTCTTTTTTGCAACAGGGTCTCCCTATAGGCCCAGCTGGCCTGGAACTTGCTCTGTAGAGCAGGGTGGCACCCACATATATACATACAAAAAAATAAGTGAATGTAATTTTTAAAATGTATATATAAAGAGCAGCTTGTGGGGGCTGAAGAGATGGCTCAGAGGTTAAGAGCACTAACTGCTCTTGCAGAGGACCTGGGTTTGATTCCCAGCACCCACATGGCAACTAACAACCATCTGTATCTCCAGTTCCAGGAGATCGGATGCCCTCTTTGGGCTTCCATGGGCATTTGCGTGCATGTGGTACACAGTACATGCAAGCAAAACACTCATACACACAAAAATAAGTCATAAGAAGAACATCTTGTATTAAGGGGTCTCTGTGGTTCCAGGGCTCTTCAGTATCTTAATCATGATGGAGCTTTTTGGGGGGAGGGATTGTTAGGTCTCATGTAGCCTAGGCTGGCCCTTCAACTCCTTATCCTCCTGCCTCTATCTCCCAAATGCTGGGATTACATATGTGTACCACCATGTATATCTTTACCACTGAGATAAAGATGTCATTACTTGAGCAACACAAAGTGCCACTACTGGTAGACATGAATGCAAGGCACAAGGAAGCTTTCTGTAGCATTTGCCGCAGGATATGACTCTGGTGACCTCACAACAATAGAAAATTGTCTTTATTATTATTTTCTCAGAGTCTCATTATGTAGCCCAGACCAGCCCCAAACTCTTATCCTTCTCCTCAGCCTGTAAAAGCTGGGGTTATAGATATGTGTTATACACCCAGCCCCATGTCCAGCTATTTGTTGTGAGGATATCTTTTTCTAAAATATTTTATTATTTTTATTTTATGTGTATGTGTGTATTGCCTGCATGTAGGTAAGTGCACCCGTGTCGTGCAATGCCCACAGAGGACAGAAGAGGCTATTGGATGCCCTGGGACTGGAGTTACGGACAGTTGTTAACTGCCATGTGGGTGCTGGGATTCGAACCCAGGTCTCCTGCAAGACCAGTCAGTGTTCTTAACCACTGAGCCATCTCTCCAGCCCCTGGATATCTCTTTTTTTATTACACTTTTGAAATTGTATATATGCGTATAAGTGTGGATGTGCATGTGCCACAGCATATGTATGGAGGTCAGAGGACAACTTTGTGGAGTCAGTCAGAGCTCTCCACCTTGTGGATTCCAGGGATCAAAATCAGGCCATCAGGCTTGGTGGCAACTACCTTTACTTGCTAAACCATCTCACTGTCCCTGATCTTTCTTATTTAAGCTGATAAAGCCAGAGGCTGGTAGATGGCTCAGAGTTTATTCTTCAGGATTCACATAGTGGAAGGAGAGAACTGACTCCCACAAATTGTCCTTTGGCCTTCACACATGAGCATACATGAGCATGCACATGCACACACAGATAGATAGATGATTGATAGATAGATAGATAGATAGATAGATAGATAGATAGATAGATGTAATATACTGACATGATTAAAGTACCATCAAGTCAGCAGGCGGTGGACCTTTTAAACCCTTCATTTAATTTCTATGGTGGTGGAATTAGAACCCAGGGCCCTGTACATGATAAGCATGCACTCTGCCACTGAGCCACCCTGTAGCCCACCACATGGATTTTTATACCCTGAGCTCCTAAGTGCTTGATGCTGGCAGGGTAGGATCCCATGGAAGGAGGAGTGTCTGTGCATTCTGTTCCCATACCACTGTCACAGCTGTACCTGGAGTGGCTACTGCTGCCCACTGTAGTACCCAGCTTTAGTATAGGGTTCTATGCTAGAAAAGCCTTCAGAGTGCTTTATTATCCAAGGCCAGGGCTAAGTCTTTCTCTCTCCACAGGAGACATCGCCAGAGCTGGGTACCTACCAGGCAGGCAGCCAGCTGCAGGAGGAGGCATTGAGACTCCCTCGCCATGAGGCTGGGGGCCCAGCAGACCAGACATGGGCAGCTGGTTCCTGCCCAGAGCAGAGTGACCCTGTGATAGCTGTTTCTGGCAATGGGCATTCTCAGCCTAAGGCTACTCCAGAAGTGGGAACAGCACCCTCTGATTCAGGGAGGGCCAGCAAGGACATCTGGATAGGGACCATCCCACCAGATGTTGGAAGCCTGGGGAACAACAGTCCTGAGGCACAGAAGGTCTGTGTTCCAGACAGTTGTGGTCAGGAAAGGCACCTGCCGAATGGTAATGATGAAGACAGGGAGGTAGACAGCAGAGACCCCCAGCAAGGAGATGCCCAAGGAGGGGGAGCAGGGGCCCAGCAGCCTAGGGAGCCCCAGGAAGGACAGGGTATCCCCTACACTCTAGCATCAGCTCCTGCTTTGGACCCAGCTGAACTGTGCCTGAAGACCTGGTATGTGACCCAGGACCTCCCTGCGCCTTCACAGACACTCTGTGGGACAGTCATAGAAGCAGCATCAAGCCACAGCAGCCCAGGAAACACCTCTCTTAGGGAAAATGTCATTACAGATGTAAACTCTGGGCTGCAACAGAGGGCTCTGGTGGTGGCTGGGCCACTTGGCTCTCTGAGCAAGCGGGCCCCTGGTAGAGGCTACAATAGGACTTTTCTGGGCTATACAGCTCTTGCTGAGACCACAGAAAACCAAGGGGAGGCCAACTTGGAAGATGAATCCTGTGGCGACACTGTGGTGAGCCTTGCAGCCATCTTGGCTGTGACTCCAGGTAAACAGCCCACAGTGGACACTAAGGGTCCTGGCCATCTGGCCTGTGAGATGGCTCTGGGTGTCCAGACTGAGGACCCTGGCCCTGATGGACAGTGGCTTGGAGGGATGCAAATGCTGGAGTCACAGGTACAGCCCATGAACCAAAAAACAGTGGAGTTAGGCAGCCAGAACTGCCAACAAGACCTTGAGGGCCTTAGTCTGTCCCCTCCGACTTCTCTGCTGGAATATAGCTGGGCAGCCAGTGGCCTTTCTCAGGGAAGCGGCGCCTGTCACAGCAGCCCAAGGTTTCCTGAAGAGCCAGCAGGGCAGCCTCCACCAGTTCCTGATCCCCCAGACCGGGCCACATTGCAAGAGTCCTCAGCCATGGAACTGGACTTCCTACCTGACAGCCAGATACAGGATGCTCTGAACACCCCAGACTTGGAGGCTTTGCCTGCACAGGTAAGAGCTTTCTTGTGACTGGCAGGCCACTCTAGGGAAGGTGAGACACTGATTGTAATCACACTGCCTCAGGGGTCAAGATAGGGCTCATGTGCACTGCCTCTGCATTTATACCACAGAGGTATCTGAGGGTCCCAGTGGCAGATTTGTTTGCTCAGGTGATCTGTGGTTTTCCTGAAAGGCAGAGGTGCCATTTGTCCAAGTGTGGCCTGGCCTATGTGATTGCCAAAGAGCCCCAAGATGGCAACATAGGGACCTTGTTAGCCTGGGCTCCCCTGGAGCCCTTAGGTGTGCCTCCCCTCTGCCCCCAGTATCTACCCCTGACTCCCAAGGGGAATGTGGAGGACTGCTGGCAGCCACATGGGAAGCCAGTGACCTCAAAGCACAGAAGGAAGAGGACTTCACTTCTGAACTGGAGAAAAGCTTTCACCCCTCCTGAGGGTCCCTTGAGGGTGGCTGGAGCTTCTCCTGTAGAGACATGAGGAATTGTGCTTTGTGCTACAGTTCTTAAGGGCCCTGATGACCCACAGCTGCCCAGATGTGTCCTCCTCTGCCTCTGAACCTGGGCCAGCCATTCAAAGTCACCTGTTTGGACAGGTGGCAGCCTTGTTTCAGCCCCACACCCCTGAAGGGGAGCAGATATGTCACTGTTGCCTCACCTGACCTGGTGAATGGCTGTAGGGGCATTCCCTGAGACTCGGCAGTTCCCTTCCACACAAGGTGCAGCAGGGAGGACAAAGGGAGGAGCTTGTAGTGCAGCCCTGTGGGAAAGCCCATGCTTAGAAAGCTTGGGCTCTATATCAGTACCAGAGGGAGGGTGGGAGAGCCTGCTTTTCCATCTTTGTTGGAAACTTGGCCAGGCTACACTTCTCAGGACTGTGAATGTGGGTCTGGGGCACGGCTTAATGTACTTGTGATACTCAGGGTTCCATTCCACCCCTGCCAGCAAAACCTATCAGTACTACAGGAACCTGGCACACAGCCTGGGTCAGACTCAGTAAGTGGCAGAGCAGCCTCTGGTTGGAGGCACCACCCTGTCATCTGGGAGAAGTTAGCTTTGACACTAGGCGGTCCAGAACAAGTCAGGGCACCCAGCCTCTGAGCAGGTTCCCATGGGGAAGGTCAGGGGAAAGTGGAGACTGTGTCTCCGGCACAGGCAGGGCTGCCTGCTGATGTCATACTAAGCCACACCTCTCAGAGGAGGGCAGTTACCCCTCAGGGATAGAAGTCTCACCACCACACCATGTTCTGCCATGAGTTTGGTGTTTTCTCCTCAGTTCTCTGTGTTCACACTTGGCACTATACACTGTTGGTCTGAAGCTGGGGTGTGCTGGCATGGCTCAGTGGCAAGTGTAGAATGCTGGGTTCCATCCCCAGCACTGTAGAAAAAAAGATGCTCTGGTCCCTCCCAGGGTTCAAGCACCAGCCAATCAGGTGCACCCACAGGCCTAGTAAGAGGGTGGCCTGTCTGGGCGAGACTCTCCACAGCTAAGCAATGTGGTGAGGTGGGCAAATGGGGGCATGAAACTTCATTTTGTTTTAGATGAGTCTGGCAGTATTGCCTAGGCTGGGCTTAAGTGATCCTCCTGCCTCAACCTCCCAGGCCTGGACCTCTAGCCTGGCCACTGTATACTCATGAATTCTCACCTCAAACTATTTGCAGAATCTTTCCCACAACAGGACATTCATGGCTGAGGTAGGCCATGCCCTGAGTTGCTGTCATATGGCTCTTCCTTTGAGACAAGTTCTTTCTGTTTTGCAGCCCACACTGGCCTCAAATGCCTAGCAGTTCTCCAGTCTCCATTTTCCAAGTGCCAAGGTCATGGGTGTGTGCCCCTCCCTTCACTTGGGTTTTAATTTTTTTTTTAATTAAAAAAGTATTTTATTATGTTATGAGTATATTGCCTGCATGTATTTAAGTGCACCCATGTTGTACATTCCCATGGAGGTCAGAAGAGGGTATCAGATCCCCTGGAACTGGAGTTACAGTTGTTAGCCACCATGTGGGTACTAGGAACCGAACCCTGGTCCTCTGTAAGAGCAGTCTTAACCACTGAGCAATCTCTCCAGCCCCCTAAAAACTTTTATTTATTTTTATGTGTATGAGTTTTTTGCCTACATGTAAAGCCCTCAGAGGCCAGAAGATGAACTGGAGTTACAGATGGTTGTTAGCCATCATGTGGGTACTGGGAACCAAACCCGGGTCTTCTGCAAGAGCAGCGAGTGTCCTTAATCGATCAACCATTTCTCTAGCCCCTCCCTTGGGGCTTTAAAAGACACTTGGGGACACATGGACACTGCAGTACACCAGAGCTCATTGCAACCTGCTCACAGAGTAGCCTATTGGGAGGAGGGCGGAAGGCGTGGTATGAGCAGCCTGGGTCTGGAGCCACTCCTGGTCACTATGCTTCCTCTGTAGGCCTGGCTGAAGTCTGAGGCCCTGGTGGCTTCTTCCTTCTGCCAGGCTGGGCATTCACACATTGCCTTCTCCCCTAGAGTTTTCCTGCAGAGAATGTGCCAGGCCTTGGATGGCCTGACCCCAGACCATGTGCCACTGGAGAAGACCCTGTAGGAGTGGCCAAGGCTCAGCCCAGGTAGGCCTCCCAATCCTCAATCCAGCATGGGAACTGAGTCTGTTTTTCAGACATTGTCCATGTACCATGTACTCCTTGGGAGAATGGTGACCTGCTGTCCACACCCAAACCAGCACCAGTACTTAGTCCCTCCCCAGGAGCCCAGATCTCCTGCTCTAGCTCTGTGGACTGTTCTAGCTTCCATGTACATGGGTATCCTAAGAACAGCCTGGGTGTTCACAAGTCCCATGAACTGGAGGGACCTAGGCAGGGCTAGGAGCTGCGGGCTGAAACAACTGAGCCTCCACCCCATTCCCAAGGACCTCTGACCCACCCTGTCTCATTCCCCTGCCTGCCTCACCCTTCTCCCCATTCTTAGAGACTATAGCCCACCCTGCCCTGCCACCACCAGGCCCTTCATGGCCTCCTCTCTTTATTACCTTGACTTGAACCTGCCTCTGCTTGTCTCTGCCTCTTAATGATTTATCACCAAGTTTGTTTCCATCAGGCCAGTATGAAAGAGGGCTAGAGATGCCACCCTGACCTCCTTTGTCCCTTCTCTTCCCGCAGTAGAGGGTCATGTTCCAGCCTCCTTCCCTCTGTAACTTAACACACGCGCGTGCACACATGCACACACCCACACTCACACTGCAATGGACCAGAGGTAGGTTATCTTATGGTCAGTGCCATCCTGGTATGGGTGTGCAGAAGCCCCTGACAGGGGTCACTGATGGCTCCATTCTGAGTGAGACTTGAGAAAGGCTAAGGGGCCAAGGACAGTCATCCACCTTGAGGTGACTAGGACCTATGTGGCAGAACTGGAGCTCCTGGAATATGGGAGGCTGAACAAGAGCCTCCCTGCTCTAACCTGAGCTGACAGGACCCTTCGCTATGCCCATATGGGGGTCACACATATTCTTTCAGGCAGGTCCTGGGCCTGCCTCCTTTCAGACTGCCTCAGTGCTGGGGAAGGCAGGCAGCAATTTAGAACCAGATGATCAAGTGTAGTTGCGAATGGGGCAGTTGAAGGGGTTAAAATCTGACCAGGAGACATTGGGAAAGAACACTCCAGAGTATAAAAGGCACTAGAATAGCCATGAATTCAGTGTGGGTAGAATGGGGGGGGCAGGGTTCAGATGGTGCCTGGGACAGCTCCAGGTCAGCCTCCATCTGGACAGTTCCCTGTGCTGTAGGGGATGAGCCTAGGGACAGGAGCTGAGGGGCTGCAGGGGCCATGGCAGAGTGTGGTGGCCTGTGGGGAGTACCAGAGCCCACTTGAAAGCTGTCCTGGGCCCTCAGGCTACTGCTTCCTTCTTCCCCTCCCGACAGGCCCCTCCTGGGGACACAGGCTCAAGAGGAGGTCTGCCAGATGCAGGACGCCACAGACACAGTTCGTGGCCTTGTTGTCGAACTCTCCAACCTCAAGTAAGGGTAGCTCAGGCTGCCAGAGGGAATGGGAAAGAGAAACTGAGGCAGGCCCACAGGTGGGTAGTGGGGTCAGGCTGCCCAACCCCTGAGTCTTTGCAGTGGAATCCTGGCTACCAGCCCCAGCCTGCATGACTCAGGCTGTCATGTGTGGCAAAGCAGGGTACACTGCCTGCACCTGGCCAGTGTGCATACTTGTGAGGAGCCCCACACTATCACTGTCTGTGTTTCCTCTGCAGTAGGCTGATCATGAGTACTCACCGAGACCTGGAGGCCTTCAAACGCAGGAGGCGCCTCCGTACTACCTGACAAAGGGGCTAGGGAGCCTTGCCCTGGGGGAGGAGGAGTGAAGGGACCTGAAGGCTGCCCCCACCTGCATGCCCGAGACTTCTCCAGGTCTACAGGAAGTCAGTTTACCGTGGACCTCACACAGGAGGCTGAGTGTGGTTTTTTGGCCAGTGTTAATAGTGCCTCCATCTGAGAGAGCACCCACCCAGGCTCCTGTGCTGTGTTATCTGGGGGTGGGGGTGGGGGGCACATACCCTTTGTTCCTTGTATGTCCTTTCTTTCTCCAGCTTTTCATTTTACTTCCGAGAAGTCAAGGAATAAATGATGTTGTCAGTCAGGACTCCATGACCTGCCACCGTGGGTGGAGGCATTTCCTGTCTGCTTTGTTCCACCCACAGACCACCCTAACCTCAACTTTTCTACAGCTTCCTCCTCTTCCACGAACTTACTTCTCCACCTCCCTGGAAGGCAAATAGGGCTGCCAGAAGACAGGTCAGAGGTTCCCACAACTAGTCTCTAGGAAGGTGGCTCTGTGTGACACATCTATGCAAATGGGTATGTGAGGCACCAAGCCTCCCCCCCATAGGTGTCCTGGCTGATGGCCCCATGGTCTTCTTGGCCGTCAGGGAACACAGCTCCATTACCCATTTCATCCCGCACATCACACACTCCTTAGAATGATGGTGGCATAGCACCATGGGTACTCATTTCTGTTTACAGAAATCCACTCCTAGGCCAGGCATGGTGTTAATCAGCACTCGAGGCAGAGGCAGGTGGATCTCTGAGTTTAAGTCCAGCCTGCCCAGAGGGAATCCAGGCCAGCTGCGGCTACAGGGAGACCCTGTCTCAAAAACACCAAAAAAAGAGGAAAAAAAAAAAAATCCACTCCTGGCTTGCTCTAGTCCCTTTTCCTTTGCCCTAACTCTTCCAACAGGGACAGCCCTGCCTCAGTCTTTTTGCAGGGGAGAGCCAGTGAGAGGCAGGCAGGGTCCTGACCAACTTCTAGCTGGCTGGGCAGCTGCTCTGGCTTATGAAATGGGCTGTGGCCCCCTAGAATCACTCCAAGACCCTGGGCCACTAAGGAGCCCTCCTGTCTCCTTCTTCCTCCCTGGTTTCTAGCCCACCAGAGGCCAGGAGCAGAGGGGTCCCTGGAAGTCCAATTCCTGCCTCATCTCAGTCTCAGAGGCAGAACCTGGGGCCACTCAGGAATGGACCACAGGCAGTTCCTTCTTCAGCCAGAGCTGGTAGACAATGGTGTGACCATCCAGAATGTAGCCCCCACATGCCTGCCTCCAGGAACACCTAGGCTGGTGGAGAACTCCTGAGGGACCCTAATTCTCAGCCTCCTCAAGCCTTGTGCAAGGGGGAGGCCCACTGGCATATCAGTACACAGGGGTGGCTGGGAGTTTGAAAGTCTCACAACTGCCTGGTGGGTGCATATTCCTGACTCAGATCCCCAAGGTACCCAAGACTCAAAAAGCAATGTGTCTGTGTGTGTGTGGGGGGGGTGACATCCAGAGTGAGGGTCCAGCATGGAGAGAAAAGGTTTTCCTTCTCACAGACCTGCAGGACCGCCCTGGCCAGATTCACAGTACCGCGTCACAAAACCAAGCTCTGTTCCTGAACATTTATTGGGTGCTGATGGAACAATGCAGGCAGGACTGGGGTGGGGGACCCCTCACAGCTTCCAGTCCCAAATCGACGGACGCTACCTCAGGGCTCCTAAGTGAAGTCCAGTTTCATGTGCACCTGAGTCCGGGCCCCTGGTGAGAGCGCCATCCCGAGCGCCCAGCTCCAGCCTCCTAGGCTCCTAGGCTGAGGTGGAGAGACAGCAGGCCTAGGCCGGAGGTCCAGAGAACTTCCTGCCACCTTTGGAACCTGAAGATTGAAAGTGGATGGTAAGAGAGAAACACATAAGGTGAAGTTCAGACAACTTGGGGCCACCGGAGTCCCTAGGGCTGCGGCCCCACCTAGCGGCCGCACCTGGCATTGCTGCCCTCGGACCCAGAGAACGACCAAAAGCAGAGATGTCTCTTTCAGGTGTGCAGTCCCTCAGATCACCGGGCTGCAGGGGACCGTGTTGTTGTTGTTTGTCTTTGAGACAGGGTCTCCCTGTAGTCCCAGCTGACCTGAACTCACTATGTAGACCAGGCTGGCCTCTGCCTCCCGAGTGCTGGGACAAAAGGCGTGCTCCACCACGCCCAGCGACCATGCATTCTTTACACCCTGCAATTTTCGGGACAGTATGTTGGTTAGGACATCCTCCAGTACCAGGGACATCTTCTTGTGTCCTAGGGTTCCCAGACCATCATCTGAGTCCATCATCTCCTCGGCCCTGACAGCTGGAGTCTCCCAGTTATCTTGGAGCTGAGGACTTTTGCTTCTGCAATACCAACCACTGCCATTTCAACTGCATCTCAACACTTTGTCTTGAAGAACTATTAAACTTATCATCCCAGCATTTTGCAGACTGAGGCAGGAGGATCATGGTTCAAGGTCAACCTGAGCTACAAACTGAAGCCCTGGCTCAAGAAATGTCAGAGACAAAAAAAGAGGGCCACCAAGATGGCTCAGAAGGCAAAGGTGCTCGCCACCAAGCTTAATGACCTCAGTTCAGTGCCCAGAACCCTCATGTTAGAAGCAGAGAACTCACTTCTGCAAGTTGTCCTCTGAAAAAAGAGGGCCACCAAGATGGCTCAGAAGGTAAAGGTGCTTGCCACCAAGCTTGATGACCTCAGTTCAGTGCCCAGAACCCTCATGTTAGAAGCAGAGAACTCACTTCTGCAAGTTGTCCTCTGACCTCCAAATGTGCTCAGCTTACACCCCACACACAAGCAAATAAATTAAGTGTAAATTTAAAAGGATTAAATAGACTAGAAATGACAGAACACTTAGCACTAGGGTAGTATTGCTCAGCTGTGAGCCCTGTATCCCATCCCCAGAATGTAAGCACTTGTTAAAACTTTAAAAATACAGGGGCTGGAGAGATGGCCCAGCAGTTAAGAACACTGGTTGTTCTTGCAGAAGACCTGTGTTCAAATCCCAGCACCCACATGGCCGCTAACAACTGTCTGTAATTCCAGTTCCAGGGGATCCGACAGCCTCTTCTGTCCTCCGCAGGCATTGCACGACATGGGTGTACTTATATGCAGGCATTAACACTCATACACATAAAATAAAAATAAAAAGTTTTTATATATGTGTGTGTGTGTGTGTGTGTGTGTGTGTGTGTGTGTGCGCGCGCGCGCACGCTCAGGCCTGGGTGCAAAGGATGGCACTGCATGTGATGACTGACTGAGATGGGGAGCCCCATACCTTGGCAGCACAGTCTGGGGAGCCAGTTTTGACCTGGGAGGCCCAAACCAGCAAGCTAATGGGATCCGATTCTTGTTTCCCCAGCCCTGCCCCTCAACTCCCACCCTGCTGCCTGGGAGAACTGCTCACAGCCACCTTCCTCCTAGGGTCTGGAACCACTTACCCCGGTCTAACATCCCCGTCTTGCCCTGGGAGAACTGCTCACGGCCACCTTCCTCCTAGGGTCTGGAACCCCTTACCCCGGTCTAACATCCCCGTCTTGCCCTGGGAGAACTGCTCACGGCCACCTTCCTCCTAGGGTCTGGAACCCCTTACCCCGGTCTAACATCCCCTTCTTGCCCTGGGAGAACTGCTCACAGCCACCTTCCTCCTAGGGTCTGGAACCCCTTACCCCAGTCTAACATCCCCTTCTTGCCCTGGCTGAAGAGCTCTAGATAATCCTGATTTTTTTTCATCTTGTGTGTATGTCCTTGAATGTGCGAGGGATGTGTGTGGATGCCAGAGGATGACCTGAGGGTTCTCTCCTTCCACTTGCAGTCCAGGGGATCAAACTCAGGGCATAAGGTTAGCAGTAAGTCCCTTTACCTCACTGCCCCCCCAAACTTATTTTAATGGTACTGACTGGGGAGCAAACTCAGGGCCACATACATGTGACACAAGAGCCATAAGTAAACTCCAAAGAGTCAGTTATCTCCACCCCCAATACAATCACACCATAGTCACAGTGAACTTCGAGTCTCAACCCAATCACACTTCTCACGAACAGAAGAATTAGGCTCTTTGTCAACTCCTCCAGGAAACTCTCTGGGACCCCCTCATGTAGCCAACTACTCCCCCATCTAGCACTCAGCACCCTGTGTTTTAACTGCCACTCTCATATCCACCTTGTTCACTGCTAACCCAACCCACCACCACCACCCAGCACAGAACAGGCGGATAAACAGCAAATGATTCCAGGTGCTAGAAAGGCCTCTCAAACCACACAGCTCCTAACCCCAAGAAATCAGAGCTGCTGCAGGATGGACTGGCAGAACCCACCACTACATCCCATAACATCCCTGGGGAGCCCAGAGAAACAGTGACTTGTGAAAGACCACATAGCAAACTAGACACACATGCAGGCACACACCCCACTTATAGAATAAGCTCTACACGGTGCTGCCCTTGACTTTCTGAGATACTGGAGTCAACCTCACTTGTAACAGACACCCCAAAGGGCTTCTCAGAGGCCAGGATAGGTCCCCAAGAGCCTGCACAGACACCTGCTTGTGTCGCTCCTCCTCCTCCCAGGCGATGGCTGGAGTCCTGTGTCTTGGCTTTGTCAGGTCGGGTCAGCTTCTTGCCTGCTGAGTTCCGGGTGGTATAGCAGTAGACAGAGGTGTAGCCCTGGCTGGTGAGTGGGCAGAAGCGTCGGGTATGGGCGTGCTCCTGTGTGGCCCCACACTGGGGACACACATAGTCCCGCAGAATGGGACACAACACCCTGCCAGCCTCGTCCTTCAGCACGTGGGACTGGTAGATGGCACGGGATTCGCCATTGTGTTTGCAGAAGGAGCACAGGCGTATTGGAGCTGGTGAAGATCCCTGGCTGGCTTTCTGGCTTTCTGGCCCCTGCTTGGACTCCGGCTTGGGGTCTGGCCTGACATCGGGTTCCTCTTCCTCATGGAGAGCCCCAACCAGGCTTGCCAAGCCCAGATAATCAGTCCATAGATCAAAAGTCCCCATGGCTGGGCAACTTGTGCCAGGCAGAGAAACAGAGTGAGAAGAAACCCTGCCTGGCTCCAAGCTTCCTCCAGCCCCTTCCTCTGCCTCTCCCTTCTCCCTGGAGTCTAGGAGTCTGAGCAGACTTCTCTCCTTTTACTTAAGGGGTGTGAAGGAGGCGGAGCACGTTTCTGGGAGGTTTCCAATTGTCGGGGGGGGGGGGGGGGGGGGCGCTTCATGCACCTGCCCAGGGGGTATATGATGTTTGTGTGGGCAAGAGGTAGCAGGGAGTGGAGGATTGGGAGCCACAGAGCCCCTCAGGCTTCCCAAGGCCTCCTCCTCCTTGTGGGAGGCCTACATCCACCCACCAACACCCCCTGGTCTGCTAAAAGAGGTTGGTCAATCACTGAGAATTCTGCCCTAAAGCCAAACACTTAGGGTGACCCTTAACAGTAATTTCTTTCTCTTTTCTTTCTCCAGGGACGTGGAAGGGGCCAGGTAATCCTGGGCTCCTGGAAGGTGGGTAATGCAGTTATCCCAGCTAAAGTGGGCATGGAATAGGGGCAAGGTCCACATCCTCAAGTCTGGCTCCCTTCAGGGACTTCAATAAGCTCTACCTCAATGTGACTTCCATGGAATGGAGAGGAAACTGCAGCCTGCAGGCTGCTCCACTGGCCCCAAGAGTCAGTCATGAAGTGAAGCTCCCAACTTTTCCTCCTCCAGTTAGCTCAGCTAGGAGCCCCAAGGCCAAGTGCGGGAGGTCTGGGAGCAGGGAGAGCCAGCATATGGGGCAGGAGGTCAGGGACACCAGCTCCCCATGGTACTCGGTTGCTTTCTGGTCTCCCAACCCCACCTCTGTCAAAGGAAACCTCAGGTTGGTCTGAAGAAGGTGGAGTTCTCAGGAGTTACTGCTGGGGCAGACTTCAAGGTACCTGGGTGTCTCAGAACAGTCTGCCAGCAGAGAAGAAAGCTGACGGCATGCCTTGGGGGGGGGAGTCTGCCTCAGCACCCCAATTCCACCCACCAGTCATCAGCCCATCCATCCATTCATCCACCCACCCATCTCTCCATCTACCCATCCATCCATCCATCCATCCATCCATCCATCCATCCATCCACCCACCTATCCATCCATCCACCCATCTCTCCATCCATCCACCTGTCCACCCCACCCATCCACCTATTCATCCATCTAGCCATTCACCCACCTGTCCATTCATCCATCCATCCATCCATTCACCTGTTCATCCAGCCAGCCATTCACCTACCTGTCCATCCATTCTTCCATCCACCCATCTACCAGTTCATTTATCTATCCACCCACCCATCCATCCATCCACCCGTGTCCACCGTTCATATTCATCCACCCATCTAGCCATTCATCCACCCATTTGTGTCCATCCATGCACCCACCTGTGTCCACCCCCAGAAACCTTATGGAGCAGATCTCCACCCTTTCAGGAATGCTGTCTCACGACCAGTACCTGCCTCCCAACCCTCAAACCCTCCAGGATTTATTCCAACTCCAAACTGTCCATCAAGATCCCAGATACCAGCCCTTCTTCCCAAGAAGGGGCAAGTGACAGAATGAAGGATCTGGAGGCATCTTGAGGGGTCCTTCCCATCCCTAAGGCTGTTGTTCGGCCCAGCCACAGTGACATTCATCCCTCGGTGGGTCTGACCTCCTCCTCACAACCCACCGACAACAATGAATGTTTATTGTGACCTTTACTGTGACCCCAGGGAGGCTGCATGGGGATTCCCCAGATCTAAGGTGAGGGTGGTGATGGGGTGGGCGGCAGTTCCAGGCCTCAGGGTCCACTCAACGGTCGATGGTTTGTCTGAGCTGCCCAAACTCACCGACAGGTTGAATGTTCCCCCAGACCCTTGGCAAATTCTTGGGGACCTGGAGTGGGGAGTGGGCCAGAGGGGTAGGGAACCTATGGGCTGGTAGAGAAGTCAAGGGTCTCGAACACTCTCATGAAGTCAGACAACAGTTATTAGTTGTCAGCTCTCTGCTTAAGGACTGAGGCAAGCAGCACACATAGAAATAAGTCAAACCACAGCCCCTTCAACAGAGGGACAACATGTCTGTCTCACTTCACGAATTTTATTCAAGGGATACATCCAATCCTGGTGCAGGGGGGCACCCCTGAGAATTTTGGAGTCTGAGGCAGGGGGATTGCTGCAGGAGGGTTTGTGTTCCACCTGGCATGGTGGTGCATGCCTTTTATCCCAGCACTCAGGAAGCAGATGCAGGAGGATCTCAGTGAGTTGGAGGCCAGCCAGGTCTACATAGTAAGTTCCAGGCGGCCAGCAGGGGCTACAGAGTGATAGATCAATAATCAATCAATCAGTAAATCTTCCGAAGTGCTCCTGACAGATTGGGGACTAAGGCCAAAGGGCACCAGGAAGCAAGTTTAGGAGGAGCAATTCCTAGGACATAAACAAGTCATTTGAACACAATGTAACACCTCTGGTGATCTTCTCTGCAGGTAAGGTGGTAAACAACGCTTTTCAATACAATGTAGACATTTTTGAATTTCTATGGGGCTGGCTACAGTTGTTTATAAATAGTGACACCCTCAAGGGATTGTCAGCTGGATGCCCCTTTGGAAG